CTCCCAGCCAGCCAGCCACCCGACCTGCTCCCAAGAATGTCAGCAGGGACGGAGGAGGTGGGGGGGCGAGGCGGCAGAGCGCGGCAGCAGCGAGAAGCAACACCCCCGCCGCTATGTCCGACAGGCATCTCGCGTTTATGTCCATCATAAACGAGAGACGCCTGTCGGACACAGCGGCGGGGATGTTGCTTCTCGCCGCTGCCGCGCTCTTGCCTCACCAACGGTATCTCTCACCGCACGTCACTGGTTACATCAGATTTTTAAAAAGGATGAAAGAAGTGTCAACCACAAGCAGATAATGGATAAATGCCAGTTGAATGTTCATGTCTATCGCACAACTATTGGTAAGGTAAGGGTAAAGGTACCCCTTGCACATATGTGCTAGTAGTTTCAAAGCCGAAGAACCAGAGCTGTCCAAAGTCGTCTCCGTGGTCATGTGGCCGGTATGACTAAATGCTGAAGGTGCACGGAACGCTATTACCTTCCCACCAAAGGTGGTCCCTATTTTTCTACTTGCATTTTCACATACTTTAAATTACTAGTTTGGCAGAAGCTGGGACAAGTAACAGGAGCTCACTCCATTAAACAGCACTAGGGATTTGAATCACCAGACTGCCGACTTTTCTGATGAACAAGCTCAGTGTCTTAGCCACTGAGCCACCGCGTCCCCGCGTACACACTGTGTACAACAATCGGTACATATTCATAATTAATACAGTTATGCTGCTGCAGAAAAAAGTGTTACCTTGCTAGACAATAGGCAATGAACACCATTCAGGACATCAGGGGCCAGTTATGTTAGTTGAATACAGAAGTAGTTGGTTGACGAACATGCTGAACTTAAAAAAGGAATAGCTGGTTCACACAACAGAGTAAGCCAGATTATGGCTGTCTAATCATGTCTGAGCCCAATAACTGAGAAGAGCAGAGGAGCAACTGAGCTAACAGCTCCAGCTTTGAGTGATGGGCTGATGTCATTGATGTTGAAGAAGCACAGCCAAATAGGTTTAGATGGCAGAAGAAATAACTCCTGGTTCAGTATGAATGATGAGTGGAGTGGATGAGTCTCATTTCAATAGGCAGGGCCACCCCCCCCCCAGTCCTTTAGAGCAGGAGTCTTCAAACTTGGCAACTTTAAGACTTGTGGATTTCAACTCCCAGAATTCTCCAGCCAGCTAGGAGTTGAAGTTTACAAGTCTTAAAGTTGCCAAGTTTGAAGAGCTCTGCCTTAGAGGAACGATAAGATTTTGCTCTAAAACATAACCACTTTGGGACATAGATTCCTTTGAGAATATAATGAGGCTCATGGATTCCTTCTCAGAAAAACACATTTTTTTTAAAAAAAGTAAATAAAATACCTAAGACTACAAATAATGATCAGCAAAATTGAGCTACAGCCCTATCAGGTTTAAGAAGCCCTCCTCAGAAAGGTATTATAGCACATCACCTTTATGCCTAGAGATACCTGTACATTTTCAAGAGCTGCTTTATTGGGAGATGCTTGCTCAACACCTTTTGCTTCAATGGAGCACCGTTGGCTGGTTTCACCACAAAATAAGTCAGGCTTGCAGCCTATATTGGACGGATTCATAGAAGCTAAGCCAAGACTGAAGAAACCACCTTGTGGCCGTAGCACCTTAAAGGAACCGTTCTCAGGCTGAACGAGGCACCGCAGTACACCCGAGGACCAGCTCATACAGTACGCACAAAACAGCTTTCAACCCTCACCGACCCAGCTTCCTGGTGCCTCCTTAAGAGACAGAAGAAAGGGGCGGGCGAATTCTTTCTAGCTCCTCCTCCTCCTGGCTAATTCACTTGCCTTACAAGGCTATAGCAAGAAGGTCTTTTTCCACGGAGGGAATCTTGCGAGCGCTGGGATCTCTGAAGCTTCGTAAAGGCAGAAGGAACAACGGCTCGAAGTTATTAGGCGTTTCTGCGGAATTTCAACAACCAACAATTCTTGGGATCTCTGCCCAACCCGGTCCCAGCGGGGAGAATCAAGGAACCCTCCTTAGAGCACGTAAGGAATCTCCTGCACTGCAAATCATCACTGTGGAGTGGAAATGCCTTGGAGATCGCCGGGAAACTTTACGCGTGGACGTTGCAATTGCCTTTTTATTGATTTAGAACAGATTGAGTAAGAGTAACGATCAGAAGCTTTGTTTATAAACATAGACTTAACTGATAGACTTAACTGTGGTTTATCAGTTAATTTGATTTTATAGGTTCGCATGGCACAATGGAACTTAGATAATTCCTCATGGTTCTTGGTTTGCAGAAGAGGCTAGGCATATAGTTGGCTCATTTGTGGTGTTGTAGGATTTGCGTCCAATCCCTAAGTAGGTTTCTAACCCCTGTGTCATGGAGGAGTGTTATGTATTTTGGCCACATGCAAGACCTGTAGAAATAGTATAGGTTGGCAATGGATGCTGTTATGCTTATAACTCTCAGTTTAGGTGTACCTGTGTTTGAGGACATTGCTTGGAGACTCGGGATTGTACTTTTTACCTCAATAACGATTACAAATATTTTATGGATTGGCTGGAAATATTTTTTATGTCCTGTGAGAAACTTTTAGAGGAATTATTGGTTCCTGCGTTAAATTTTCAAGTCACACCATTAACAAGATTACCTTCTGATCAGGAGGAATATTTAAATATGTTAAAACATAAAGCCAATTGAGACGAAATTCTTGCATCCTTGCAGAACTGAAAGATGGTGTTGTATGGCCGTGTCATTTTATTTTAGATGGAGATAAAAAAAATTATACAAAAAGGCTTGGGTGTTTTTTGTCTCCTAAAAGATGACATTGACAGAATGATATCTTTGGTGAAGATACTGTCACTATTCCTTTTTTTTCTTCTTCGAGTGAGTTATTTGGTAAAGATAAAAGTTCCCCTCACACATGTGCGTGATATTATATTACATGAGTGATATAATATGGCATGCCTATTTCTTTTGATGTCATTGCCACTGAACATTGGTGTTTGCCTGTCGTATGTTGTCCTGCTTTAGAGAAAACAAGATGCTTTCAAATGTTATTTCAAGATTCCATTAATTTGTTTGTGTAATTCCTGATTTTTAAGAGGGTATTTGAGGCTGTTTCCAGACTCATGTGCCTTATTCTGACATTCAAAAGGCACTCTGCAGCTTTTCTGTTTAATGGATGTGTTTCTTTTAAGCAAAAGGCAGTTGAAATGGAAAAACATAGGATGGTAACAAAACAAATATACAATTTTTTGACACTCCTGTAAAAATTTCATCTTGAAGGCAAATGATAAAAGTCTTGTCCGGAAACACCCTTCAGAAAATTAATTTTCTAAAAATTTGTGTTTGGTCATCTCATTGGTTTTGCAGAGATCTTAAGTCTGCCATGCGATTTGTATTCAAAAGTGTTTACTTCCATATTTTCAAGTGCTGGTAAAATTGCAACCATGAGCACATTTATCTGTATGTAAGCTCCACAGAAAAACAACTTAATTTGATTCAGCCTTCTTTGATCTGGTTCCTTCCTAATGTTGGTTTGGAATTCTGGGAGTTATAATGCTAATGCATCTGAAAGGCATCAAGCTAGAGGAAGCTACTTTGAACAACAAGGCATCAGATAACGCTGCACATTGATTTCATCATAAACCAGCTTAGCTTTATCAGGAAGCTAACATGAACAGCTATTTATTACAGTTGGATAATTTCTTCTTGTTCATTTGTCAATCAGGGATCTCCAACAAGCATCTTTACTGAAAATTGCAGTGAAGCAGTTTCCCACAAACACGTTCTCTAGCTATAGATTCCTTTCCAGTGTCTCACCAATGAAATTCTGAAGAAAACTCTACCCAGCATGTTTGAAGATCGGTGATAGAATGGAAGTCCTCCGTCGTTCTTCTGTCTTTGCTGCAGAGGTGATGGAAGTGTTTGACCGGACTCCCACTGACAAGGAGCTTGTATCTCAAGCCAAGGCGCTTTGCAGAGACTACATTAACTCCAGGCTCATTCGGGCTGGTATTGGCTGGAATAAGCCTGAGCATAGCTCCCCTGTTCCAGTTGGCAAGTTAGCAGAAGTGTCCAGCATACTTTTAAGGTTGGGTAAGTGCAAAAATGGACAAAAGATATGTCTGGCTAAGTTACATTACAATGGTGTAATGCTTGTGATACCTTTACTCTTTTCACCAAAAGTTACCTGTAATCTTATTCATCCCCTATGTTGAAATCATCTAACAATTTGTTGCCTCTGTCTCTTTCTGTCTCAGGCTCTCTCTTCTTCTCAGGGACCAAATTGGCAAAATCTATCCCACTCTCCCCTGCATTCATTGAAAAGAGGGGCAAATTTACACAGCTTGTTAATAAAACTATTTGCCTCTATTTTTGGCACCCTTCCTATTTTCCCACCATGGAAAACATGTCTAGCTGATATGTAGCGCTAGTTGGCCACAGGCTGCATTTCTTGGTCCTTTATCCATCATGCATATATGTTAATATTTGAAGAAGTACTTAAAAATAGGCTGCTCTTCAGTTACGGAAGAGAGAGAAAAGAAATGGCAGGCAACATGTTTTTTGGAACTTGGCATGTATGTCCGCTTGGGGAGCAAAGGTGTAATATAATATAAAAATAAAGCAAGCTTCTGTCATGCTTCAAAAATTATTTGACTAAAGACAACATCAGGGCTATGAATGTGTGTTTATATAATTATAATCATATATTTATTATATTAAAATATGTAGCACTGTATATTTAAATGCTACAGTTATTACTATATATACACACACACATACACATATATGCATACACACATACACACTGTGTGTATATGTATATATATGTGTGTGTGTATGTGTAATAACCTACATTATATATAGTATATATTGTAATATAATAAATATATAACACGTATATGATTACAATTAAATGGTGGCATACCTGATTTAGGAATATAAGAGATTTTATATAAATATAAATCTCTTATATTCCTAAATCAGGTATCCCACTATTTAGGTCCTTTAAAATTACTTGTTATTGGCTACAAGGAATATATAATAGAAAATTCTTTTTGGGTGAAATCCTCATTATTCTCTGTGCATTCAGAGGTTTGTCATATAAGATAGAGCTTCAACCGTATTTATTTTCAGTACAGCAATTTATATGCTGCTCGGATCTGAAAAGGCTCTTATGAGATCAACTAAGCTCCAAAACAGCCCATCTATATTGTCTTGAGAGTGACATTGAGTAGAAATATATGTTATGATACCATTGCCATATCAGAGGTATCCCTTCAGTGGCTAACTTTTCTGAACTTCTCTGTCAAACTGGCAGTGGCCCGCGGACTGGATGCTTCATGCGCAGGCCACGCCCACCCCAGCTCCGTGAATGGGGAAAATGTTGCAAAACGTTACGTGACACCACAAGTTTGACACCAGTGCTGTAATAGATCAAGCTTGCATCTGTTCTTGCCAAGAGCAAACTAGCTCCCAGTTCTCCTTGAACTAAGCTGTGATAAGCATCACATGTGTTGATGGCCGTTACAACAGATACATCTCACTATAGCATTCAGGCGATCTGCTTTCATTTGGTCTGAGTTTGTGAGGCCATTCTGTTGAGTGCAGCAGCAGCCTTCCTACACCTTTTGTTTTTTTTACAATTTATTGAAAACAAAGGTGAAGTCTGTTCCTCATGCTCTCAAACTGGCTTGGGCTGTGCCAGGACTAGCCCTAGATTAGCCAGGAGTAAGAGATGGCTTCTAGGGTTTCAGGAGTCATGCCAGAGCAATATTTTCCTAATTGTTTGTATGGATGAAGAGGGAGGTGTACGTGCTGGATTTTATGCATTGAGTTCCAAAAGAGCTTTGATAATGTTCTTTATTCCCAGACTAAGATGGTTATGCATGTTAGATTTCATAACAAGACGTCAATTTGGTTAGAGGTTTTTTAGGCTTTTTTTTTTTTTTGAGCTGAGTTTGGAATTTGCTGCTTTTGTGGACACCTATTAGCCAATGCCTAGAAAAGCCACTTTACTTTCTTCTACAGAAGTTATTTGAAGGGGAACAAGACTATTTCTGGTATCTTTATTGTTTGTCCATATTTTTTTCCTGTGACATTAAACATCGGTAGTGCTAATGATGTACACAAGGAGGACAAATAGCTTTTCTCAGCGTGATTATTTATTTGATTATCCTACCCCACATTAGTGACCTTTATTAGTTATAACATCCACCAAAAAAGTGGTCATAGGATGAAAGCAATTTATAATCCAAATTGCAAAAATGAAATGAAAGAGAAAATTAACAACAAGAGGAACTGGTGATATTATTGAGAAGTTTAACTTTTAAGATAAATAAAAAAGTATTAACTCTACTTTCTAAATGTTATCATAAAGCTGAATGTGCAATTGATAAATAACTGCAAAGTATGTTAAATTATTTCATATATATGATGTCATGAATTGGTCCAACCTTTTTTACATCCAGATAAGCTGGTAGCTACCACTGTATTCTTTGGTACCAAATTCCAAAATTTAATCAATGGTATCCTCAGTTTGGAACATCAGTTATAAGAGTTGAACATGCAGTAACATCTCTGTTTGTCATCCACCACTACTTTTAAACTCTGTCTTCCAAGATGAGAGTTATAGCATAAAAGGTCAGAGAGCTTGATATGTCATTTTTAGTCCATTTTGGTGCTCCTAAAATTTTGATTTTTTTCTACAATATCCTTTCCAGCAGATTTTGTGTTTTGGCGGAGGGGTGAATTAATTTTATTTCTTTCTTGCTGTTGATCTTTCCATCTATTTTCTTAGTCTAATTGTCTTATTTTTTTTCCTTGGATTTTGCACCCTTTCATTTAATTGATGCACAGAAATATCAAGCTTGCCTTCCATTGATTATGTTGGTGTTAAATATTTAAATGAGTGGGAGATGGTACAAGACTTGAAGGTTATCTACTTGATAATCATCCAGGCTATTAAATCAAGTTAAGACTGGAGTGAAATGTATAATATATTAAGTTAGGATTAGCATTAAATGAAATCAAATTGACAGTGAAATACATTTACTACTGTTCAGTAAGTCAGACCTGCTGTAGCTTTAATGCTGTTTCTCAAACTTGGCAACTTTAAGATGAGTGGATTTCAACTCCCAGAATTCTAGTTCTTCTGAAAATTGAACTCTAACCATCTTAAAGTTGCCAAGATTGAGAAATATTACTTTAATTAAAATAACAACAAAAAAGTATGGTTGCTGTTTTCCCATTACAATAACCTCAATGGACTTCATGCTAATTTAATATTTTTGAGTTATTTTTAGGCAATTACTTAGAAATATTTTAGTACTAAAACTTTGGCAGATACTGTAAACAATGTAGATGAGAGAGTAGGCCCAAACTTTTTTCCTGAATGAACTTGTGATAAAAAGGTTGTGCTTGCATGACATATTCATAGTTACATTAAACTTAGTTAACAGGGAAGAATATAAAATTTTGGGGTCATCCAGTTTGTGATTCAACACATCATGCAAATCCAGTCATCAAAATGTTCCAATGCAGATTTCAGGAAGAGAAGCTAAATCTATCTTGAGTGAAAATTACAGTGCCTGTTAGATTTTTTTTAGCTATCACTCCCCTCTGTTATAGCCACTATTTCTTCCCAGATCAGATAATCACCACAACTAATAATAATTTATAGCAGGGGTGTCAACCTTGGCAACTTTATGACTTGTGGACTTAAACTACCAGAATTCCCCAGCCAACATGAGTTGAAATCCACAAGTATTAAAGTTGCCAAGGTTGGACACCTCTGATTTATAGTCTTTTAAAACTATCTCGGTGGTCATTATTATAATAAATTACAGTGAAATCACAGGGTTTCCCAAAGTCTTTCCTTTTATTTATTCCAGAATGTCTTATCATTCAGCTTCACTAAATAATTTGTAACATATGTCACTTCCCTTAAAAAAAATATACCACAAAATCAAGAAATACTGTAACTTTCCTTATAAAGGCACTGATCAAGCTCTTTTATTGATTTAGTTTCCCCTTCTTGACGTTAATAACCAAAACAGCATTCTTAATAATGATTATACTTAATAGTCCAGAATTGGGTGCATCACAGCTTTGCTAAAGGATTATGGTAGTTTTCTTCGCTTTCCTACTTCCCTAACATGGAATTTGCCCTCACCTAGTCTTCTTCTTCTGAACTGTATTGATGAATGTATGATATTGGCTCCCCACTATGCTCCAAAAAGGCAATCTGTGTTCCTGCTGAGATACATTCTTTGGCAACTATCAAATTCTATGTCCTGCCTATTTTTTTAATTTTATTAAAATAATGCATTGGAACCTGGTATGCTGCAAAGCAAAATGTTGCCTTGGAATAATTTCCAAAAATGCATGTAAGTCAAAAATACATCCTAGAGGCATTGTTATAAATTTAATTAAGAGGAGACTGCAGCACCATACTGTGTTTTTGATTTGTTTGTTTTTTATGTGTGGAACTTCCACACCTGACTGTCACAGCTGATGTCACAAATCATTTTGGAATAGTTACAACATATACTCTCAGTATTTCAAATGTGCTCAAACAGCTAGGGAAGCCTGATCGATCCATTATGACCTCAGATTTTCTTAGTCACCAGCTGTCAACTCAGACTCTATCAGTGTATGAGTGAATTTAGGGATGGGGGTAGTAGGGAGTATGCAATCCTTGTATACTTGCACTGCAGAGTGCTTGCTGTTTTGTTCCCGCACCTTGGAGAGTAGCTGTTTGGAGCTCTCTGCATTGTCTTTTTGTAACCGTACATGCTAAAATTATGTGAGAAATGACCACCAGCAGGAGTTTGGTGCTAAGATAGATTCACGTCCGTGAAAAAATGAGTGGTGCAGATGCATAAATATTTTAAATCTTTGCATAGTGACATAGGCAGTCTGCTATAATTAGAAGGCCTTCTCCCAAGCAAAATAATTGGCTTATATGACAGCAAATAGCTTTCCCTTAGGAGTTTCAGTTATATCTCATCCAAATGTGATTTTATTTTTCTCAGAAGCTGCCATCCTTGATTTCCTGCCTTTTCTTTTCTTTTGCTTTATCTCATGAAGGAGTT